TTTTTCTGGAAGAGTGTCGAATGTGTGAGAATTTGGAATAATCAAGAACTCAGTAGATTGGTCACCTTGGGGTCACTTCTCGTGCAAATAAGTCTCGAGGCAGGCAACGAGCTTTTTCTCAAGGACACGTGTCGGACTCTCAATAGCGATGCACTTCGGTTGGTCGAGAGATTGTTTTTCTTGGACGAAAGACAGTTTGAGGCCTGCACTCATGAATATAGGATAAACAAGCAATTTGTTTATGAAATTGAAATCCTTATATAATGAGAAAGGATATGACTTACAGGTAAACTTGATATTCCGTTGTCTCTGGGTTGATCAGTTGGAGAGATCATGGAAAAGGGAGTCACTGCATGTACTGACTGCTGGCCCACAGTACTTGACAGTAGATTGCTATCAAAACCACGAAACGAACAAAAAATGTTAGTGAAAACATAAATAGCCAGAGAAAATGAAAATGGATATGAAATTTACTAAATAAGTAAATATAAACAAGTTGAGCTGGAAAACGCATATCATCCAAGGCATGTCTAATATGAAAACTACAGTGAGTAGAGGTCGAGGGCACTTACAGCTGCTGTCCATTGATGTTCTGACAACAAACCTCTTTCGCCATTGTGAAGCCGTCTGAAGCTTTTTCAACAAAAAGAAAATAATGAATCAGTAGCATGTTTCACACTTTTCATCACCAACACAAAAGAAAACCAAAGAAATGAAAACAGCATTTTCTTACCTCGTGATGCTTGAATCGGGTTTTCAAATTGACTAGTAAAAGGCCAAGGATCTGATAGTGATACTGAGGTAGGCTGTGCAGTCATAGAAGAATTTGTTGAATTTGTGTCATTAGGAGTAACTAAATCCTGCTGTTTTGGGACAAATGGGTTGAAAAACGGCTCAGATGAAGAAGGTTTGGCGATCTTGTCGTTAGACGTAAACGGATCTTGTGATTTAATGATAATGGCAAAGGGATTTGGTTCAAACAGCGCAATCTGAACAGCTATGGAGTTCGTGTCACTAGTCGTAACTAAATCTTGCTGTTTGGGAGCAAACGGAGAAGGTTCGGCAATTTTGTCATTAACTGAAACTGAATTTTGAGATCTAACGGCAAAAGGATTTGGTTTAAACGGCTCAAACAGAAAAGCTTTGGAGGTTGTGTCACTACTCGTAACTAAATCTTGCTGTTTGGGAGCAAACGGAGAAGGTTCGGCAATCTTGTCATTAACTGAAACTGAATTTTGAGATCTAACGGCAAAAGGATTTGGTTTAAATGGCCCAATTGGAAAAGCTTTGCAGGTTGTATCACTAGTGACTAAACCTTGCTGTTTGGGAGCAAACGGAGAAGGTTTGGTGATTTTGTCATTAAGTGAAACCGAATTTTGAGATCTAATGGCAAAAGGATTTGGTTTAAATGGCCCAACTGGAAAAGTTTTGCAGGTTGTATCACTATTAACTAAAACTTGCTGTTTGGGAGCAAAAGGGTTTGATTTGAACTTCTCAAACGGAGAAGGTTTGATGATCTTATCATCTGATGCAAACAGATTTGGTTTGAATGCCTCAAATGGAAAAGCTTTTGGCGTAACTATATCTTGCTGTTTAGGGGCAAAGGGGTTGGGTTTAAACGGCTCAAATGGAGAAGGTTTGCAGATTGTGTCATCTGATTTGTTAACTGACGAAGGAAATTGAAAGATGTTCGACTGAGAATCAGAGGGTTTGAAACCAGCCGATTGTCCACCTATTGAAATGGAGAAAAACAGAAAACGATTAATCATCTCTTCACAATGATATTAAACAAGAAAAAAAAAAAAAAACATAAATTTGCCATTAACACCCCATCCAGAGGAATCTTGATTACCTTTACTATGTAATTCATAGTCCTCTAACCTCAGCTTCTCATGACTCTTACCCTTGTAAATCTCCATTCCTGATATTGACAGAATCTTCTCACCGCCATCCTGTGTCGGTACATAAGACGACACTTTGCTACCTTTAGAGGCCGTTGTCAACTGGGACCCTGTCATAAAAAGATCACACAATTATGAAATCACTTCATGCAATATATATCAGAACTATACATTAGTTTTCTATAGTTTTTCCTCTTTATCTCAGAATTTAACTTACCGGTAGAACCCTGAATGCCGGGCGCCTGAGTAAAATGAAACGTAAATGGCGAACCAACAAATATCTGACTCGTATTCTTAGGCAAACCAAATCCTGAAGTGTTTGTGCCGTAACCCGAGTTTGGGGACACCCCAAACGCACCAGCAATTGGATATCCTTCAAACAAATTACTGTTGCCAGAGCTAAAACCACTACTGCCACTCCCAGGTGCGAAATTCGGCAGCGTAGGCTGACCAAATAAGAAGGGCGTGCCAGCAGATGATGAATTCGAGTGGAAAGGCAGTGGCTTTGAGTTGAAGTCAATCCCCGAGTTATTCGGGACTCCAAATACGGTCTCTTTGACGCCAGAGGTTGGCCAGCTGGCGGCAGAGTTGGGATTGGAAAGGAAAGGGGACGTCCCAGCGGTGGGAACCGAATCAACTGCAGGACGAAAATAAGGAAACATGTTATAATGATTGTAAAGGGAATTCATATTGAAAACACGAAATACGAAACTGGGCATCTACAGGAATACGAAAAATTGATTCTTGAATTTAGGATCTGAATTTTGACGCCTATTTCAAGTTTATTTGAACGTAGAATTGTGACTGCATAAAAGGTTTTACTATATTTTTTTTTTCTTTTAATAGGATTCAGAAAGAGTTCGAATTCAAGAATCTAGAGAAAGGTATTCACAGAGTGAATATGCAGCAAATAATTGGTAATTCATGGGTCCCATGCAATTGAGAATCCAAACAAAGAACATACAGAGAGAGAGATAACTTACATGGAGAAGTTTGCACCATTGTGACAATTTTTTTTTTAGTTCTTTTGGAAGAAAAAAGTGTATGTATGGATCAATGGGCGTTAAGGGCGATGCCGATGCATATATATATATGGGGATAGGGTTTTGGCGCGAGTAGCTTAAAGAAAAAGCAGTTTCATGATCCGAGTAGCTTTGGTTTCAAGCTAAACAGTTTAATTTGCCTAAATTAAATAAACTCAATAATATAAAAATAATTAAATAGATGGACCGTCAAACCGGACTAGAGATTTTAATTCCATCGAAAACCATTTCAACATCTGGTAAACCGGTCGAACAAGGAAAAGTGGGCCGATCTACTGTACTGTTATGCCGTGTGCGCCCCGCTTAATAATCTTTTTATTTTCTTATTTTGCTGTCAAACTGCAAATATACTAATAGAAGTAGCAATGGAAACGGGTTTAATACACCAAATCCTCTTGTATTATATTAAACTAGTACGTAACCCGTGCGATGCACGGACTGTATACTTTTTTCGGAAACTTAATGTAGTACCGATGCGCAGTACGGTGGGGTTATTTCCTCAAACATTTTTGTCTAAATTTTATTTAATATTTTTTATTATAAATTAATAATTTGATTGTAATGGAAAAAAAATAGAGAGAAATACAAAGTACACAAAAAAAAAATAAAAAAATCATATATTATTAAACACTTCTCTATACACAACATTATTGGTTTGATTTTCTTTCAAACCTTCTTCTCCACAAATTAAAATTTTAAGACCCTTTCTATTAGTAACACGGGAGACAGCGATATATAACTGACCATGACTAAAAACTGGTTTCTTCAAAAATAAGCCAACATGAGATAAGGATTGACCTTGACTCTTGTTTATAGTCATTGCATACGAAACCATAATGGGGAACTGCCTTCTTTGGAATTTGAATGGTACTCTAACATCCGAAGGAGTTATGGTCATTCGAGGTATCAAAACTTTATCACCTGCATGATCGCCAGTAAGAATTTTACACTCGAGAACATGATTGGAGAGTTTGGTCACAACCAATCGTGTACCATTGCAGAGTCCCATTGGGTGATCCATGTTCCGCAACAACATAACTGGAGTTCCGACCTTTAAATTCAACTCATGATTCGGTGTTCCAGAACAATTGATAGTATTCAAGAATTCAGGAGTATGGAGTTGTGCCAGAAAGTCGGTATTGGAGTCAGATTTACACATACTGTCTGAGCTTAAATACGTGCGTCCTTCAGTCAAATTCAACGACGACATGTATGCATTTATAGATTCTAAAATCTCGAGTGTGGGCGCGAGTATAGCCCTATCTTTCAAGTAAATTGGATCATCTGTTGCATTCTTGAACATCGGATACGTGCTTTCAACAATTTTTGCAATTGGATCATTGGATGGTTCTAGTAATAGATCATCTGGTATGTCTATCGGAGCACATCCATCATTTGTACCCCCCAATGTGCCATCTCCGATGCTTGCTATCCAATCAGCAAAAGCGGCTAGCTCATCACGTTCATTCGAATCGCCAATGCTCTGAAGACGCATGTTCTTCGTAAGTCTAAGCACAGTACAGTCTCCCCAAATGGTAGAAGAATTAATAGCAGCATTAACAATCTCCTGACGATTCCCCTTTGGAACTACCGGAAGGATTTGTTGAAAGCCTCCGCCAAACACAACAGTCTCGCCTCCGAACGGTTTATGATGATTTGCCGGGTCGATTGCTCCCATTATTGCCTTAAAAGAAGCTTGAACAGCTTCAAAACAATGCTTGTGCATCATAGGGGCCTCATCCCATATGATCAGTGAAGAGCGAATAATCAACTCTGCAAGGGGGCTAGCTGTTAGTGTTATATACTGAAAGCTTGGCTTTGCATGATATTACACATTTACCCTTTATGAATGAGAATCATGTTAGATTAAACAAGTTCTACGTTCTGTTGTTCTGTACTTAGATAGGGTGGGTCGTCATCGGGCGAACCGAAGATCACTCTGTCAGTCACTTGCGAACAAGAATAGTTGTTCACAACCTAGATGGACATGAACACCCCATCCGAACGGTTGTAGTGTCAACTGTACAGTTTGTCTTGACTGATTAGTTGCACTAGTACATTTATGTATTGAACAGGATCCCAGAGAGGAGAAGTTCATTTTATACTGATCGTCGTAAATGAACTAGGCCTCGGTTAATTACTGCGTTCTCTTAACCCGTAAGATATTAAACAGGCAGATATATATAATATATATTACTTTGATTCACATGGGTGAGGTTCAGTTCGCTGGATTAATATTCCTACTGTTTTGGGTAATATTATTATATATAGGATGTGCTGTTAGGATATTTACGGTCACCATGTGCGTTAGTTTGATGATGTCCCCGGAGTGAGTTCATGAAGGATTGTTATGCTAAACCCTGCAGGTGGATTAAATTCCGGCATAATAAGAATGTGATGAACGAGCGCTAGCTTCGGTGAAATAATAATAAATTAATTAATTCTTGATTGTCAGTAATCGAATTAATTAATGGACATTATATCTTAAACGTGGGGAGGTAAATCGAGTAATTATTATTGGAGTCTCAAATGTAATTTGGGCTAGGGAAAGGGAGTGCAATAATATAATGTTGGTGGCCCATTAATATTATTTAATTAATTAGAGGAGTGGGTTTGGCCCACAGTTAGTCTAATTAATTAAGGAGCCCTTTTCCTAATCTCCTTAGGATCCCTACTGTAGCTCTATATATACATCATTAAGCTCATGAGAAGAAACATAAGTCTCATTCTCACGTGAAACCATCTCTCTCTAGATCTCATTCGAGCTTTATCTTCTTCTTGTTGCTCCACTGGTACAAGTTGAAGAAGGGTGTATTGAGTAATACAGTAGAAGATCTGTAGGTAAACCGAGACGAAATTGATTTTGACCTACAGAACTAACCATAAGTCCGATTGAGACGTACAGTATACCCAGACGACCGTCTCGACGAGAGCTTTCCATCGCCGCCGACGTCGCCGGAATCCGACGCCGCACGCGCCCTCACGCGCCGCCGGAAGGTGTCTGGCAGCAAAAACTCGTTTTGATCTGTTTGCATCCGTTTGATCCAGTTTTGATCTGATCTTGTTCGTGCAACCCAAGACGCGTGTTGCGGTCAATCAATTGCGGTCAACCGTTCGTGGTCAACCAGATCTACATAAATTTTAAGCCGTAAGTTCTCTACGTCAAACCTTTAGATCCGCTGCGCATAGGTTTACGTTTGCTATTGAATTCGTGATTTGTACATAACGAGATCCTCACAGATCCCAACACTAGCCTGATTGATATCACACGATGAATTTTCATGCACAGAAAGAGGAATGCCAAATCGAGAATGTGCAATGCGACCGCCCGGCAACAGGAGAGATGCTATTTCGGTTGATGCAACACAAAGAACAATTCGACCGCGCGATCTTAGTCCAGCAGCTAAAGTCTTCCACAAGTATGTCTTGCCAGTTCCACCATAACCATAAACAAAAAACACGCCGCCCCTACCGGAATCAACAGATGTCATTATTCTGGAATAAACACCCTTCTGTTCATCGGTCATATGTGTCAGCAATTCATCATGCTCATTAGCTAGAGCCTTACAATCATAGTTAAGTTCATCCATAACCAGACGGTTCACACTTGAATTCATACTACTCATATCTGGAAAAGGCATAGTAGAATAGTCCCGAAGGCTTGTGCCACGATGTCTCAATCTCTGCAAGAGCTAAAGTTTTTATATCTGCATCACTCAGCTTCAAATCTGAAATAATGATAGATGACCTATTAGATTTCGTTTTTTTACGTGGAATACAAAACAAATTAATAATTAAGAAAAACAATGTTATTATAATACTTGATAAATGCATAATATAAAACGCCCTAAATCTCATACCATCGTTATCAAAAAGACGACGTTGCTTGTATAGTATGTCGTCAGATAGAAATTGCCAACACCGTTCCCAAACTTAATCGGGTTTACCTAAGGATCCAGAAACCAATAAAGACGCGAACATGCGCCTAAGAGAATCAGCAGATGCCCATTGACTTGCTTCGGTAATTCCATCAATGTACTCTCGATCATCACCCAACAAACATCGTGCATAGCAAGCATCGCGATAGGACGTGTATTGAACATCGCCTACCTTCATATAATCCTCGTGGCAAGTAGCTCCACGAACAACATTGACCAAACACCTCAAATAATAATTATCACCAGCATTGGGAGGAACATAGCTCAAACGACCTATACAACCTGGCCTTATTCGAGGAGTCCAGACTCTTTCTTGTTTGTTCCAAACAAATTTTGACGGCGCCTCAACATACGTCAGTTTCCTCGCCTGGGGATACATTTTGTTCGCTTCCATCCATGCCAAAAATTGGCTTTCATTGACGGTGGGATTATTAAGAACTTCATCGATATGATCATCATCATCAAAAACAATATTATGTTCACCTTTCAAATGGAAACTCAGACATTGCTCAGAAGGTTTTTTGTACTGCAGTTCATAACCCAATAGCCTCCACGCCGCCTCGCAAGAAGACACATACCGACAGTCATAGAACATGTTGATCTCGTCAACAGGTTTTTCTATTTCTCCATAGGCAGTCGTCTGATAGAATGATGCGGTGACACGATCATGACCTTTATTGACGTACTTGAAAAGGTACTTTATGGATCGCGATTGATTACACCACTCGACATTAATATGCGCTCCATTTTTCATCAACAATTTGCGATTGTGAGGAACGACATAACCATTATGGACAATGACCCCATTTTTTTCAATATGCCTTCCATCGTCTCGACGTCTGTATCGTGGATAACCTTCATGGTCGACAGTGGTTAAATCGACAAACTTTTTAGGAAACCGTTTACTACATTTGCCATCCACCATGCACGGAGACGATTTTCTAGCTAAACCACAACGTCCGTGGATCATGTGCTCTTTTACTGCCTCATAATACAACGGATCCTACGTCTCATCAGGTATCTCCGCAGATATTACTCTGTCAATGTCTGACGGATTTGGGAATTTATTTTCTTTGGGGAGAAATAGTAGTATATGAGCATGCGGCAATCCACGCTTCTGAAATTCAATGGTGTAGACAACTACAAAACACAAAAGAAGATAAAACAATTAGAATATTTTTTAAAATGGTGTTAGACAACACGATGGTCATATATACCACAATATTTTTTCTTACAATAATACCTGCTATAACTTTGCCGAAAATTTGCTTTTTACGAAAATTCCTGATTAATTCCTTCAATTTTGATTTGAAAACCCTACATATAATATCCGGGCGATCCTCAGGTCGCAGTCTTTTTGGTTCCAAAAAATGAACAATCTCAGGCCATTTTGGATTGCATGTGAATGTTATAAACAAATCGGGATAACATGCCCATCCACAAATTGCCATTGCATCCTGATAGTTTTGAATCATGTTTCGAGGTCCCCCAGTGAATGAAGAAGGAAGTATAATTCTTTTTTCTCTAGAGCTTAGATCAACATCGCCCTGGAGAACAGCATCCGCCAATCTATTGTACATATCACATCGGAGTCGACTCTGATTGAATCGTATATACCGCAACCTCGATGATTCAACCATGGTATATGCATCAACGACAAACTGCTGAAACAATCTTCTCGCTGAAAGAATAGTAGATGGTTCGTGTTTTCGATCATGGATCCGGTACGCAAAGTATTCCCGGACACTCACTGTTTTTCGACCACGCTCTTTTTCAACTTTTCGTTTTGAAAATGGAATGTCTTCTTTATAGCCATCCTCACTGTAGGGAAAAAGAAGGGGATATTGTAAAGCCAGATATGAAGCATTAAGCTCATTTATTCGCTGTAGTCGTCCACTCTTGGTTTCAACCAATATATCTCGCTCACCCATAGCCTGATCAAAATCTCCAACGACCAATACCGCAACTTCAAAACTCGTAGGCAAGTTATAACGTCTGGCATCATTAAATCTCCTTCCAATTAAACGAATCCTGATATTAGATTCGCCATGATCTTGAATTCTTTCTCTAGCCAAACGAAATGATTTCACAAGTTCGTTGTGCTCATCCAACATGGTCGTCAATCCAGAAATAATTTCTCCATTCAAATCAGTAGTACCGTCAACATTTCTGAAAAATGAAATAATTTTTTTAAACAAATCAAATAAAATTTTATAAAAGAAATTTAATAAAAATTCGATTAAGGATATTATTTAAATACTAACCTCACAACATTCATTCTATTCGTTACTTCATTATCAGTGTCATATATATAGCTGAGCAAATTTTGGAGTTGAACCTTCAGAAGGAAGTAAACTACCCATGAGATGGTAGTTTTGTCCGTGCAAACTGAAAACGGGTGGTCCCGATCCTTTGTTGATATCGGTATTGATCTTGCCTCCCAGAGAAGTAAAACCGAACATGCTGTTGTAGGATCTAATGTTTTCTTGAAAGTGTTTGCTAACGCGGCTATCTCCATATATCAAGTCACTCAAAAACTGGGGCGGATTATGCAGAACAGGTAGTTCAATCATACCATTCACACAACAACCACTGTACTTGGTAACAGCCGACGTTCTATCAGAAGACTTTCTCTCAGAATACCAAAACATTGCTCTGCAGTACATGCATTCGATGTTGGCATCACCCATGTCCCAGTACTCTACGATTGTTATGATGAAGAATATTTTAATATTATATAATCAAATCAATTTACAAAATTTGTCATAAAAACAAAATTCAAATAATAACCAACCGGATCGTGTAGAAGTGCTCGCCAACATTTTTTTAGGTCGCCCAGGTTTTTCTTTTGATTTGTAGGTTGCACTTGATCACGCAAATCAACACCTACAATAATATAAACATAATCAATTCAAAACTGACCAGTAAATATAATTATATAATTCACAAATAACATAATAATATTCATAAACATACCATTTTGTGTGGACGTGTTTCCAATTATTGTTTTTGGTCGTTCACGTTTTCTTTTAAGAGGCGTAAGTGATATTTGATCGTCAGCCGTGTGATCCAATATCTCACTCGATATAGTTGGGTATGGCGTTGGATTGACAGTTATTTTTTCATGGTCTAAAAAACGTGAATAATTGAAAACAATTTTGTTAAAAAAAATTTATACATAAATATGCTGCAATAAGTGATAAATCAATTTTTTAAATAACAACATACCAGTTTGTGTGGACGTACTTCCTAGAACCTTTTTTGGTTGACCACGCTTTCTTTTAAGTTCCGTCAATGGTAGTTGACAGTCAACAGTGTGATCCAATAACTCACTCGATATATTCGTGTATGGAGTTGGAGTGACGGTTATTTTTTCAAGTTCTAGAAAACGTAAACAATTAAAATATATTTACTTAAAAAATTTATACTGAAATATCATGCCATAAGTGATAAATTAAGTTGTTAAATAACAACATACCAGTTGATGTGGACGTATTTCCTAGAATCTTTTTAGGTCGACCACGTTTTCTTTTTAGAGTCGTAACTGGTACTTGATCGTTCGCACGATGATCGAATATCTCACTTGAAATAGTAGTCTTTGGAGTGGCGGTTATTGTTTCAATATCTGAAAAATGTAGATAAGTACAAAATAAATAATTAAAAAAATCATATTGAAATATAATGCAGTAAGTGATAAATCCTATATTTCAATAAGAACATACCAGTTTTTGCGGGCATATTTCCTAAAATATTTTTAGGTCGACCACGGTTTCTTTTAATAGTTTTATGTGATACTTGATTGATAGGAGCTACATGATAATCCTCATTGAGATCAATAACCCCTGCATACGAAAAAATATCTACAATAATCCAAACAGAATACTAATTGAAATGTACTAATTCATAAAAATAAGTATTCCATATATTTTTTTTAACAAAAATACACCCAAATATTATTGTATTTTACCTTCTGGTTGCTTGAATATATTATTAGAATTAGAATTAGAATTTGAAGAAAGAAGCAAACCGTCATCACTATCATCACTGGTAAGATCAATGAACTGTGACGGTCCAACATTTTCTGCAAACAATTATAATCACAAATACACACATCACACTTGTATTATAAAAAACTACAGAAAAAAATTAAACACATATAATGTAATTTGATAAAAATATAAATGTCTCACCAGATGCAATAATTTTGGATGTTGAATTTAATGGAGTAAATATCGGGGCTGTTTCGAATACTACATAAGAAAAATATTTTAATTATATATATATATATATGTATATATATTATTTATATGCATGTAAATAAATAAATAAATTTAAGAGAAAATAAAATTTTAAAAAAATTACCATTGGTGATGTTTGATAATGGTAGACTTTGAGAAGTATGCAACACACTTCGCCATTGATATGAAACCTTGCCGGAATTATTGTTGTTTTCAATCGGAATAAAAGAAGATTCAGTAACAGGAGAAGGTGTAGCATATCCTGTAGAAATAGAATGGAATATTAAGGATACAAAAAAAAATAATAATAAATCAATAAATAAAAAAAATAATATAATATAAAATAAATTAAATATATAAATGTATAAAACAAAAAACAAATTAATTAAAGGTGACAAAAAATAATTATGAGCAATTTTGTTTTACTTATATAAAACACATAATAAATAGTAATTATATTGGGTTAAGAACAATATATCAAAAATTAGGCTTTAAAATCTATTAATGCAATTAATAATCAAATATATGAGACTAATTGGCCAAATATCATTTTACACCCATTACACACAAACTCAGCCCAAGTTAAAATAACTATTAAAATAGCCCAATTGCTAAACCAGCCCAATCATATGTCTTTAGCCCAATATGATCCGAAGCCCACAAGCCAAATCATAAAAATCGGACGGTCAATATTTTGTCAACAGAATCGAACTGCTGTCATTAACTGATCTTGTGTATAAAAGGAAACAAAGATCATGTAGGGTTTCATTTTCTTCATTTCACCACCGCCTCACTTCTCTCCCTTCTTTTTCGCCGCTTGTCTGAGAATCGAACATGTCCGATTTCTTTCCTTGTCCGATCTATTTCCTAATTTTCATTTTTCCCGTTTTGATTTATGTTTCAAATGATCAGTTAACTTTCCAATTTTTCAAAGTCGTAAAGATTGGTTTCGATTTTCACAAGAACAGTTTCTAATCTTAGAAAGGTACTACGAATTCGATTTTCAAATGATCGGCCTTGTTTTTTTTACCTATGGCGGAAAGGTACTACGAATTCGATTTGTATATTTATTTATTTATTTATTTTGTTCTTACCTGAACAGAAAAATTCGACCTCGTTAGTTTTGATGTTGATTAGTTTCGATGTGTGTATGTTACGTGTGTGTCTGAGATACGATCAACTGTCTGATATATTTCCTTGTCCGATCTATTTCCTAATTTTCATTTTTCCTGTTTTGGTTTATGTTTGAAATGATCAGTTAACTTTCCAATTTTTCCTGTATATTTAAGGTTTGATTTTTTTTTTCTTACATGGACAGATCTGCGTTTTATATGTTCATGCTAGAATTAACAGATCTGCGTTTTATGTTCTACTGAATCACTCGAATGGTGTGGTATTGTGTTAATGTCTGTGATGTTCATTGTACAACTTTTACAAAGTCAATTTTGTGTTTCAGTTAAAAATGAATGTGAAATTGTTATAATTTGAACACTTTTCCAGGGTTTTTGATAGACACATGCATGAACTATGGTACTGAAAAGGATAATTGAGTGACTGGTTTGATATATTTGAAATTAGGGTTTCATAATCACACTGATTCATAGTAAAGCTCGACTTTGTTTTGTTTATTAATAAATTATTTATTATACTGTAATTGTACCAGTCAGCCTATTATTAGAAACAACTGTTATCATATATAAACTTGATTTTTAGTACACATACTAAAAAATATGTTTTTAAGATCATTTGAATTAAAGATTAATCTGTAAGGACAATTTTAAAAGTCTGACCAACTCTTTCATTTTATTGCATGAGAATCATCAATATGAATCAAGGAACTTGGTTGAGTTGCAGAGTTAATAAGCACAACACAAAATGGGCATTGTTTTATAGGTAAGTGGTCTACAAAAACCAATTACTTATTAAAAGTTATATAACCTTCATGGTATGAAATAATTTTTATATAATCTTCTCATATTATTTCTAACATCTTATACTCTCTTGGTTACAGAAACCGAAGAAGCTAACCTACTATAGGAATCTGATGATAGAAGATTGAATTGTATAAGTACATAGTGGCAAGTATATTCAGTGAACTCAAAAGGTAAAGATTTAACATAAGTATTGGTTTGTTGAATTAAATAATTTGTAAGACTTCACACATTTCTGATTATATAACTGTATTATATCATATTTGTCAACTACATGTTCTAATTTTATTTTTTAACTTACAGCAGCATAAGGACTAAAGCATGACATCCATTATGAAGGTATTTAATTTGTTTTTTGTCCATTGTTTATTTGTACACCACAAATAGCAAAAAACAAAACACAAAAAGAGATATCCACATATTATAATAAATCTTAATTGCTGCTTAATGTATCAAGTTCTAACATATATTTATGTATTTGTGCGAGGATGATACTACTAAACATGAGGCCTAAAATATTTGAAGAACTACACAGAAGTTAAGAGACAGAAGGTAAAACAGGTAAATCTCTAAAATGAAATCAATAGGTAAATCTTATATTAATGTGTTTGCACCTTTTTCTTTGGTTTCATTTTTTTTGAAGCAATCATCCGCCGTTGAATTCCTTGCAAAAATAAAGCCAACAAAAAAATCACAAAATATTGCTAATGAATATAATCTTTTGGATGAAAAAGTCTAAACTTTATAAATCGAAAGCAATTAGAAATAGATTACCTTGATCTTTGATTTGTTCTTTTATCCGCTGTTTGACTCTGCATGATTTCATTTTATTGGTTTCCGAAAGTATACCAATGTTTGTTTCCTTCATAACATCTATTTATTTGTGGTTACACAATAAAAAATCCAAAAAACACACGCTGTAGTTTAATTCTTGTATTCTGCTCGCGAAGAAAACTATTGTATGTATCTGTATTTATATTCTCGTGGCAAAAATGATACAACAGCGTGTGCAAAAAATAAGGGAAAAGGGAATGTTAGTTTACATTAGATAAGGCATAATCTTATAGAATATATTCACACAATAGTTTGTTTGGAAAAGATTAAAACTGAATCTGGCAACTTTATAGGAGATATGCTCACATATGTAGGAGATATGCTCGCACTTCTATATATTTAAAGATGATATGAAGTATCCTAACAAAAATAAGTTTTAGAAATTGGAAAAATTAATATTTACAAAAATAATCGCCATTTATTTTATCTTTCAAACAAAATAAATCGATAATAAATTACTATTATATATTAATTTGTTGGTAATATATTTTAATTAAAGTAGTTATTAAATTTGCTTAGTTATATTTTATAGGATTAACAATAGGAGGTTGATTACGTGAAATCTATTTCATAACTTGTTAGGAATAGTTAGGACTTCACAAGTACTTAAATGTTAGTTCACATAAGTACTTCGGTATAATCAATTTATAACGAACAAAAATATGAAACTTGCACATAATAAAAACGAACTAAACACACGTATAAATTCAAAGGGGAAATCAACTTTATTAATAAGTTGATTGAAATCTCGAAAACTATATGTTTCCTAGAGACTCAACCAAAAAGCAACATAAAGTTGCAATTATTTCTTCAAGAAAAACAAACAAACCAAACCATAAAAAACAAAACCATCCAAGCAAAAAAAAAAAAAACATAATAAAATCGTCTTCTAGTCAAAACCCAACATCTAATTATTATCTCCTTCATCAGTTGGGAGTAAGTTCCCACAGTCATCAACTTTCGCCTTGCGCTTCTTGCTCGTCACGGATTCCGCTTGTCCACAATCGGGGTCAATAACAAACTCATCCATCAAATTACGTTTTGCATTGGATGTATTACTAACTTGCTCAACAGCACGAACAGTCTTAAGCGGTGAAATCACTTCCTCTTCATCATCGTCCTACTCAAAATAAAGTCAAGTATAAACTTGAAAGAAAATAAACTTAATTTATAAGCAAATATATTTAATATTGGAATATAAATATTTATACTAACCTTAGTAGCTTCCTCCCTTTGTAAAAGGGTCATAAAATTGGAATTCTATAAAGAAAAAACATCATAATTAATTTTCAAATCATGTATTGTATACCAAAGGAATATATTTAATATGTTAAATCTAATTATATAAACTTACATCATACTCTACTACCCAATGGTTGTACTTGAAAACCAAATTTTGATCAAGGATGACCCTTAACACGGAGAAAGTAGATGAATAGCCCTTTTTTTCATTATTATTTGCTTTGATTCGAACCTTGAAAATAAAGGTTCTCCCAACCAAGTCCTCTAAATCATCGGGCAGCTAATATTCTTATTTATGATGATATTATTTTTTTTCAATATATATATATATATATATTATTTTAATAATAGTCACCTTTAACACAGAAATTTCACACTTTAGAAGCTCACAAGACTTTCTAATCATCCATTCACACTCTTTATCCCAACATATGAAAACAGCACTTGCAGTACAATCAGCGACACTAAATTGAATCTTGTACCTTTGAAAAAAAAAAAAACAAAGTTGAGACTATTAATAATTACTAACAATATGCGAAAAGGAAAACAAATGAAATTTTATCAATACCGTGCAATGCCACGTGTATTAGTGCAC